AGATTTGTTTCCACTATCAATAGCCATTTGTAGATTTAGTCCAGATATTGGACATTCCGGAAGACACCCAACGACAACTGTGGTGGACATTCCAGGGATGGTGAACTGACAGGCAGATCTCATGAGACATCTGCAATTCTCTGTCGGGATGTTCTAAGCCATATATCTGTGTTGAAGGATGCCAGATGTGGGTTAGTGTTTCTGTTCAATCCTGATAGGTTCTTTCCAGGATGCAGAACTGACAGTGGATACAGCAGATACCCTGGTAGTGGGATCAGTATAACCCATACATTTTCTCCACTTAAACGTTTTACCTTGTTTGGTATACCAGCCTTGCTCCTCTGTTAGCTGATGATCCATGGCCTCTAAAAGATCAGCCAGTTCTGTTACAGGCTGACCTTCCACCTTGCTTCTCGGTTGCTGACTTTGAAGGCTTGCTGTTGAGAACCCTGGTTTAGAGAGATGGGCATTTTGCATTCTGTAATCCCAACCTTGTTATAAAATTCACAAATCTTTTTTTCCTGCAAGACTTCTCATTGAACATGACAGACTTTTTTTTTTTTTTTCTCCACTGGTGAACACCTGGGTGTTTTCTTATGTGCTTTTTGGTGGACTGTGTTCTTTATTCTGCAGTTAGGGAATAAACAACACTTGGCCCTTAGCACCACTAAAGGGCAGGTGTCTGCACTGTCTATTCTTTTTCAGTGTCCACTTGCTGATTGGTAATTTAATACCAGGGTGGTAGGTATCCCTACAGCCTTGGGATATAAATCTAGTCTACTCTGTGCTACAAAGACCTTCTTTTATACTTATTCAGGACATATCTTTGATGTTGCTATCCCGCATTGTCTTGTAGGGAGCCTTAAATATGTATAAGACAAGGCTGTTTTAAAACCAAGAACCTGCTTTTACCCTAGTTTTGGATAAAGTGGAAAGGGATAAGAATATGTGTCTGTTTTTTTTTTTATTGCTGTCTGTGCCCCCCCCCCCCCCCCCATTTGTCCTGTTTTACGGTTCTCAAAGGTGAAAGTAAAAACATCCTAAATTACGGGTTGTCCCCAGAACATTAATGCGATTGGGGGGAGATTTTCCAATGGAGACACTAGTTCTGGTGATGCGCTCACTTCATTTTTTGGCTATGGGATTGGAAGTGATGGGAAATCTCCCCCACAGAACACAAGTGGGCAAAAAAAAAAACTTGCCCGGGTTATAACTCTCCCTTCCTCTATCCAAAATGAAAGAACAATATGCCTTTGGCTAGTTCTACCTTAAAACAGGTTAATTCCTGGCTATTTCGCTTGCCCATTTGCCACAAGGATCTTTCTACAGGATGGTCTTCACCTGGGTTGCACCCTACTCCTTCTAGATATACTTACTTAATTCTGAGAATTCTAGGCCTCATGATAGCCTCTTTCAAGGCATTGTCATTTGCCCAATCTCCTTGGAGACCTCTCCAGTCATCATTTTGTCCACCTGGAAGTTAACCAGCCAGATTTTCTCATGGATGAAATTGCTGTCCATCGATCTGTGGTCAACATCCTATGAGAGGACAAATGGAAAGAAAATTACCTCAGTTGCCACTGCCTGAGTTAAGGTAACATGTTAAACCCGATCTATCAGAGATGGGGGACCCTGAATGTGTATATCTTGATCTCCAGATTCAACAACAAGCTTACCTCTGTTTGTGGCCAGGACCAGGGATTCTCTATCGCCGTCACTGCATTGACAATTCAATGGTCTCTGTTCAGGCTAATCTATGCATTCACTCAGTATGAATATGTACCTAGTCTGCTCAGCAAAATCGAGCAAGAAAAGAAGCCAGTCATTCTCTTTTCACCAAACTGGCCCCTGGCTTCTCATCAGGCCGGACTTGCTGCCTTGGGACCCTCTATTCCGTCCTGCTTCTCAGTTACTAATTTTAAAGGCATGGCTTTTGAAGTCCACACCTTAAGAGACAGAGGGGTCTCAGATCTTTATGAAAGTGACTTTTTTTTTTTTTTTTTGGCCTTTTAGCAAGGTAAAAAAACAGACTAAATTATTGCACCTGGAAATCCTTCTTTGCCTGGTGTGAACACACGCACTAAAGTCCTAGAGATTATTATATGCCTCAGGTTCTTGCCTTCTTACAATCAGGACTTGACCAGAACTTGGTTTTTAAAACTTTGAAAGAACCAGTTTTGGCCTTACTTTTTCAAAAACCTCTAGCCTCAGAAAATTATCACAAGACAATTACAGGTTGAAATACTTGGAATACATTGTGTTCAGAGCTTTTCAGGCTTTTAATGGATCTCTGGCAATTCTCACCTTTCTAAGTGATCCCAGTGAGAAACAGGTCTGTCCGTTTTTTTTCATTTAAGAAACCAGTGTTCACTCCAAATGATAATACCCTGGCAGCATAAGTTACATGCAGCATAAGTTACATATAGCATAGTACAGCCTTTTTCAACCAGGGTGCCTTCAGGATTCTTCAGGGATACCTTGGCAAAATGCCTGAAAAAATGTTTTTTTACCCAAAAAGTATATACAAGGTGGATCAAGCCTACCTTTTTTTTTAGTTACAAAAAGCAAGCACAGGAGTGATGCCATCCTGCACTGACCAATCAAGAAAGTTGAAGAAGCACCCAGAAGAAACTGGGGAAAAGATGTGGGCGCAGGTTTTTATTTTGTACCATTGCAACCTTCCAGCCGCCAGCACTCTTAACAGCCAATGATGTCATCAGTTGATAAGGAGGACATAGGGCGCCTGCACAGCATCCATGTTTGCCCCTTCCTTGCCCCTCTCCATCAGCATTGTGGTCACGTTACCTGAGTGAAGGAGAAGAGAAACTGGAATACTAGTCATTAACGGTGTGCAAATGTGTATTTACTTTTGAAAGACTAAGGCAGCCCATAGACGAATCCGGGTTTTTTTTTCGCCACAGTCGATTACATGGATTGAAATTCAGCCAGTCCTTGCTGAACAGGCCAAATTTAATGCATTTATGACTAGCCTAAATCTCTTCTAATGTTGGGTGTCCTACATGTGGATGTTGCTGCATTATGTAAAACTGTTTAGTTTTTTGCATATTAGAATAGGGTGCCTCGAGATTTGTAATAATTTTAAAAAGGGTGCATTGACAAAAAAAGTTGAGAAACACTGGATTAGTTGATAGAGAACTATAAAAAAAACCTTAAATATTTATAATATTTGAAATTAAAACTTGGCATTCAATAATGATGCTAGACTCTAGGTATGTATACCAGCGTTAAAACCAAAAAGATTATGTACTTAGGATAATTCCCTCAGTCCTGTTGGATCAACTTGATGTTTTGTTTGCTTTGTATTTATTTGAAATATTAATAGGATTGCACTAAAAACTTCTCTCCTTTATCAAAACCTTTAGTCAAGGTGTATCACAGATCAGGCCTCCCTTACAGCACCATGTACTTCCTTGTTTCTGACCTGCAGAAACCACCCTTTGAATCCATCAGGAATATTTCCTTAGATGACCTCTCCTGCAAAGTAGCCTTTTTGGTTGCTATCACGTCTATCAGACGTGTCTCTGAGCTGGTAGCTCTTTTGTAAGTAGCTGTCCCTTATTCTTAACAATGATAAGGTAGTCCTACACCCAAAACCATCCTTCCTTCTTAAAGTGCTAATAAAGGTTCAGATGTTTTTATTTTAATTTAATTAAAAAGGTAATGGTTTTGCACCAAGCAGCCCTGATCCTTCTCTTCACGGGTCCCCTACTGGCTCCTCCCCTCTGCTGTGTGCCCCCAGATCAAACTGGTTGCTCTGGGGGCACTTGTGAGTAACACACAGAGCACAGCTCGCCTTACCCCCACTCCCCCCTCACTGTCTGTGATTGGCAGCAGCAAATGGCTTCTGATGCTGTGTCTCAGCCAATGAGGAGGGAAAGCTGCTGCTCTCGTGCACATTGCTGGATCAAGATCAGTAAGTATTAGGGTGGGCTGAGAGGGGAGCTGTGCACACTGAATGTTTTTTTACTTAAAAACATAAATCCCTTCAGCCTTTAGAACCACCAGAAGGGTGGTATCCGTCTTCTACCTCAGTGAAGACAAAGTCCTTCTGTCTTTGTGCCCTGCTCCATAGCACCCAAAGGAAATTGCTCTCCATTCCCGGGACATAATCAGAGCCTTCAGAGTCTACCTCAAAGCCACAGCCTCTATCGCTAGAGCTTACACACTAAAGAAGAAAACTCATCCTGCACTTTTACCAATCCACTCCACGAGGTCATTCTTTCGGGGGTTCCAGCACAAAGCCTTTGTGGTCCAGCTTTTTAAGGCTGCCACCTGGTCCTTTATTCATAACCTTCAAAGTGTTACAAGGTGGACCGTCAAATCTTCTGTGAATGCAGCATTTGGCCACAAGGTTCTTGTAGGGGCACTCTGGAGTTGGGTCTGTTGGCACATTTCTTTTTGCCTAGTTGGTGCTCACCCTTCTCATTCATTGCTTGGGGACATACCTTGGTCTGCGAATACTCTGCCTGTGCGCTGAATATTTAAGATGAGGAGAATTTTGACTTTCCTGTAAATTCCATATCTGAAGTATAGTACGGGACACTGTACACCGTCCCTTCTACCCTTTTGTATCTCTGAAGTGTTTGCTACAAAATTGAGGACTCGAGAGAGAGTGCGGTAGGGTTATAGGGAGGCTTCCAGAGGGGGGCATGTCCTAAAAAGCTTTGGCAGAATCCAAACACTTGAAGGTACTAACCCATAACTTGGGTCTGTGAATACTCAGCCCGTGCCCTGTACTGTTCTTCGGTGGAATTTACTGGTGCGTCAAAATATTACATATATTATAAAATCGGCTAGAAAATCCTTTTGCACTGGATACTGCAAACTAGTAGTGAGCTACTTTCACTTAATGCAACACAAATTAAAAAAATGGCTTGATGTAAATGTGGTATTGTCATGTCATTGTCTGTCTGGTATAGCCTGTCTGCCCTGAAAACTATGCTGGTAGGACTAAACTGAGCCTTTATTTTGTATTCTAGCACTTGGTTAATGAATGGTTAAGTGAAAAGCATGAAAAGTCTGGCAAACATGGGGAGACGTTTCTGGAGAGACCTTTACGGATAACCACAGACCCCGAAGTTCTCGCAACACAGCTAAATTCTTTACCAGGTCTTGTCTACAGTGCACATGTGTATACCACTCCAAAGCACTATATTCGATTCACCTCTCCATTCCTGTCTGATAAAAAGAAGAAACAAAAAGATGAAGAGAATGGTTTGGGTTACTGCAAAAAGGTACAGCTTGCTACAGCCTTAGTGAATCTTTCTTTTATAGGACTTTAAACTACAGACTATATAGCACAATGTGTACTATATGTAATATAAGTACATCTATGCTAAAAGTGGTCTGGTTTAACTTTGCTGTTTATAGTACAGATTACTTTGCTGGCAATGGATAGAGTGTGACAGAAGATCTGATAATAAGCTTTGTATCTTTTATGAGACTGAGACAGGTTACTGATCAGGTTGCTTTTGTTTAAATTGCTCTGTTCTCTTCATTTACTTAACCTCTACAGTCTGTTGGTGCAGACCTTTTGTGGCAAAAGAACATCTGTGCTCAGCACATTGTTTGTTTTTTAATAAGTGCTTAATCTAGTCAAAGATCAGAGAGGTATGTTTGAGCAATGAAGCAAACTTATTTTACAGTTTTCCTTTTAGATTTACCAAAAACCATACAGTGAAGGAAATAAGTAATTGATCCCCTGCTGATTTTGAATGTTTTTGCCGACTCACAAAGAAACGATCAGTCTAAAAATCGAATGGTAGGTGTATTGTAACACAGAGACAGAATAGCAACAAAACATTCAAAAGAAATGCATGTCTAACAAATTATGCACTGATATGCATGTTCATGAGGGAAATAAGTATTTGGTCCCTTATTCAGCAGGATTTCTGGCTACCAGGTGTCTTTCTTACAGGTAACAAGCTGAGATTAGAAGCAGTCTCTTAAAGGGAGTGCTGCTAATCTCATTTTGTTACCTGTATAAAAGGCACCTGTCCACAGGAGCAATCAAACAATCAGATTTCAAACTCTCCACTATGGCAAAGACCAAAAAGCTGTCCAAGGATGTCAAGGACAAGATTGTAGACCTACACAAGGTTGGATTGGGCTGCAAAACTATCGCCAAGCAGCTTGGTGAGAGGGTGACAACAGTTGTGCAATCATTCGCAAATGGAAGAAACAAAACAACTGTCAGTCTCCCTAGGTCTGGTGCACCATGCAAGATCTCACCTCGTGGAGTGTCAATGATCATGAGAACAGTGAGGAATCATCCCAGAACTACATGTGGGGATCTTGTCAATAATCACCAGGCAGCTGGGACCACAGTCACCAAGAAAACCATTGGTAACACACTACGCCGACAAGGATTGAAATCCTGCAGTGCCTGCAAGGTCCCTCTGCTCAAGAAAGCACATGTCCAGGCCCATCTGAACATCTGAATGATGCAGAGGAGGACTGGTTGAAAGTGTTGTGGTCAGATAAGACCAAACTTGAGCTCTTTGGCATCAACTCAACACGCCGTGTTTGGAGGAGGAGGAGGAATGCTGCCTATGACCCCAAGAACACAATCCCAACTGTCTAACTTGGTGGTGGAAACATTCTGCTTTGGGGGTGTTTTTCTGCTAAGGGGACAGGACAACTGCACTGTATCAAAGGGACGATGGACGGGGCAATGTACCATCAAATCTTGGGTGAGAACCTTCCCTCAGCCAGGGCATTGAAAATGGGTCATGGATGGGTGTTCCAGGATGACATTGACCCAAAACACACGGCCAAGGCAACAAAGGAGTGGCTCAAGAAGATGCACATTAAGGTCCTGGAGTGGCCTAGCCAGTCTCCAGACCTTAATCTGATTGAAAATCTGTGGAGGGAGCTGAAAGTTTGAGTTGCCAAACGTCCGCCTCCAAACCTTAAGGACTTGGAGAGAATCTGCCAAGAGGAGTGGGCCAAAATCCCTCCTGAGATGTGTGCAAACCTGGTGACCAACTACAGGAAACGTCTGACCTCTGTGATTGCCAACAAGGGATTTGCCACCAAGTACTAAGTCATGTTTTGTGAAAGGGATCAAATACTTATTTCCCTCAAGAACATGCAAATCAGTGCATTATTTGTTAGACATGCATTTCTTTTGAATTTTTGTTGCTATTCTGTCTGTGTTACAATACACCTACTATTCGATTTTTAGACTGATCATTTCTTTGTGAGTGGGCAAACATTCAAAATCAGCAGGGGATCAAAATACTTATTTACTTCAACGTATAATATGAGGTCAAACCTAAACAACTCTTTCAATGTGTATCCAATAAAGGCAGACCCTTGCACTACATAGTTGAAGGTAAATGTAAAGGAGATTGTACAGAAATTGTACAAGAAAATGTTATACTATATGGCCAGCTTTATGCTTGTAAATTAAATGGTAGAGTGTAGGTGAAAGTAGATACATCAGGTATGTGCTGTTGAAATGTAGTTGGTGTCGGTGTGTGGATGTGGTCTGTAGTGTAGAAAAGGAGAGACTGATTGGCAGTCAAGTGGAGTAAAGCAGCAGTAAAGATTCTGACATGTGAGAAGTAGATAAACCTGTTATTTGAGCAACCAGAACACTGCTATTGCTGACCTCTTCCCCTAGTCACCTGGCTGTTATGCAGACTATTTACTTTGAATCCCTGACCCAAAAAAGTATGTGCATATGGAAATTTCTTTATATGAACACTTGATCTGAGTCAGTAACTCAGAAATGCTCAACAGTCAGCCAACTAGCATTTTCAGAAGGTTGACAGTGGCAGCTTTTTATCCATATGTCTTACTTTACATCAAAGGATGAAAGTGTGATTACCTTAAAGTATTACAAAGCCCACAACCATAAAATCAGTCTGTATAATACAGTAAAGCATGTTTGCTATACTCACTGTGAAACCTAGGGGGTTAATCCTGTGCATTTTGTAAAAAGGCTGTGTGATCCTGACTTCTCTGATCCTCCCCTTCTTCCAGTGTCTCCCATTAAGACATATTGTGTGGAGTCACTGTGCACATGCTCAGTTTGATGTACTAGAGGGTTTTTTTTTTTTCCCTTGAGAGAGTGCATGTGATCATCACAGGGCCAATCAGCACTGTCCAAGACAGAGGTCAGGGGTTCTGCATCCTAGAGCAAAATGAAAACTCCTTCTACAAACTTTAACGTGTTTTGATGGACACTGATAGAAGTCACAAGACTGCTCTAACCACCGATGAGAAAATATATTTAGCAGTTTATATCTACTAAAATAATTGCACTTCCATGTTCCGTGCACTGTGGGAGACCAGATATAGGGAATGCAGGGTCCTGGTTTTAGTAACACTTTAAAGAATATGTAAACCCACATTTCTTATTCCTGATATGTGCCTGCTGTACCATGCGTTTTGTATGAAAAAGCATCCCATTATCTTTGTGTGTAAGAACTGACCACACTAGGCAGGAGATCACAAAGGGAGGTTTACTAAAGCTGGTTCACTCAGAATCTGGTGCACCTGTGCATGGTAGCCAATCAGCTTCCAACCTCAGCTTGTTGAGTTAAGCTTTGGCAATAAAACCTGGAAGCTGATTGGCTTCTATGCAGAAGTGAACCTGATTTTACACTATCCAGCTTTAGTAAATCCCCTGTGTGGGCAGATTTTTGTGTTTTTTATTTTTTTTTTTTTTTTTTTGTTTTTTTTTTTTTTTTATTTTTTTTTTTTTTTATGTTTTTTTTTTTTTGTTTTTTTTTTTTTTTTTTTTTTTTTTTTTTTTTTTTTTTTTTTTTTTTTTTTTTTTTTTTTTTTTTTTTTTTTTTTTTTTTTTTTTTTTTTTTTTTTTTTTTTTTTTTTTTTTTTTTTTTTTTTTTTTTTTTTTTTTTTTTTTGTTTTTTTTATTTATGTTTTTTTTTTTTTTTATTTTTTTTTTTTTTTATTTTTTTTTTTATTTTTTTTTTTTTTTTTTTTTTTTTTTTTTTTTTTTTTTTTTTTTTTTTTTTTTTTTTTTTTTTTTTTTTTTTTTTTTTTTTTTTTTTTTTTTTTTTTTTTTTTTTTTTTTTTTTTTTTTTTTTTTTTTTTTTTTTTTTTTTTTTTTTTTTTTTTTTTTTTTTTTTTTTGTTTTTTTTTTTTTTTTTTTTTTTTTTTTTTTTTTTTTTTTTTTTTTTTTTTTTTTTTTATTTTTTTTTTTTTTTTTTTTTTTTTTTTTTTTTTTTTTTTTTTTTTTGTTTTTTTTTTTTTTTTTTTTTTTTTTTTTTTTTTTTTTTTTTTTTTTTTTTTTTTTTTTTTTTTTTTTATTTTTTTTTTTTTTTTTTTTTTTTTTTTTTTTTTTTTTTTTTTTTTTTTTTTTTTGTTTTTTTTTTTTTTTTTTTTTTTTTTTTTTTTTTTTTTTTTTTTTATTTTTTTTTATTTTTGTTTTGTTTATTTATTTTATGTTTTTTTTTGTATTTGTTTTTTTTTTTTGTTTTTTTTTTTATGTTTTTATTTTTTTTGTGTGTTTTTTTTTTATTTTTATTTTTTTGTTTTTATTTTTTTTGTTTTGTTTTATATATATATATTTTTGCTAGCAGCAGGTAAAGCCTCTTTTTTGAACTCTGATCTTTAGTTCTTTCCATATATTTTCTATTGGATTCTAGTCAAGTGATTGGCTGGGCCATTCTAGCTGCTTTATTTTCTTTCTTTGAAATAAATTGAGAGTTTCCTTGGCTTTGTGTTTGGGATCATTGTCTGACTGAAATGTCCACCCTCGTTTCATCTTCACCATGCTGGTAGATGGCAGCAGATTTTTATCCAAGAGTGTCTTGGTACATTTTTCCATTCATCCTTCCTTCAATGACATGAAGTTTGCCAGTACCGTATGCTGAAAAACAGCCCCACACCAATGATGTTCCTACCTCCAAACTTCACTGTTTGTATGGCGTTTTTGAGGTGATGTGCAGTGCCATTTGACCTTCAAACATGGTGTGTATCTGACCAGACTTTATTCTCTCAGTATTTCACGGGCTTGTCTAAATGTTGTTTAAATGAGCTTCAACATGCGTTTTTCTTCAGCAATGGAGTCTTGCGTGGTGAGCGTGCATACAGGCCATGGCGGTTGCGTGAATTACATATTGTGTTCTTTGAAATAATTGTACCTGCTAATTCCAGGTGTTTCCGAAGCTCTCGACGTGGTCTTTGGCTTTTGGACAACTCTTCTGATAATTCTTTTCACTCCTCTGTCAGAAATCTTACGAGGAGCACCTGGTTGTGG